ATAGTATTAGGTCCTGAATCTGAGGTACCTATTTCATGATTAGTGAGAAAGTTTATTATTATTACTTTAACAACCTTTAAGGTGTGTTAGACATTTGACCTGTTAGGTCCCAGATGTGCAATGCACAATTAGAAAAAGAGCAAAGTACACACACCTATCACTATGCATGTAACACCTCCCACAGGGGATTTCTCAGTGCCCTATCTTTGTATCTGCAACCTTCAGCACAGAGGTGGACAGGCAGACCTTACCATTTTGAAACACTAGGGCAACCAGGCTTGTCTTAAAAAAAAAAAAAAAAATTGTACTGAAAGAAAATGTAAGTAGGGTGGATTCAAGAAGAGAAGAACTGAAGCGTGTTCTTGATTAATTTGTAGCAGGGTTGGTTTGGGGATTTTGTTTTGTTTTTTTAAAAACCCAGTATGCAGGAGGTATGCACAGCCTTCCACTTCCTTCCCTGAGCAGTGAAATACCCTCTTTGCAGGAAGTTTAATGATTGCGAAGGAACTTAATTTGAATTCTTTGCCCTGGCTCAACTGCGCATGTTTGTTCCAGTGCTGTGTGCTCACAAATCCTTTGGGCACATATCCCACAAAATGTGTGTGTATATATTTGGAAATACATCATTTATCATGCACCCTGGTCTGCCCAACTCATACACACAGCTGAAATGCACTGACTGCTTGGGCAAAGCGGTCTTTCCAGAAGTGTATTATTACGGAAAAACACGACATAAAACACTTTTCATTATTCTTTATTTGTTTGTCCAAAGTATAATGCAGTTGACTCCAGCTGCTTCAGCCAGTAACAGCAGAATCACACACTTCAGCCCAACAGTGCCCGTGACGGGTACTGCCAAACACTGCCCAGACAAAAACACCACACTGATGAGGTCACACATACCATATGCTGAGCTTTAATGCTTCACATCCCCATCTATAGTCCTTCAAGTAAACTACAATGCTTAAATAAATAAAAGGCATGATCAGCTTTGCTGCTGCTTAACTTACTATGTGTATTGTAACGAATAGATACAAAGCTGTCACAGACTAGTACAAGTCACACATTACAGAAAACCATCACAGTTTGAACTACTTAAGTAACACTTGTATTTGTGCAGGCTTACTATAGTTTTGCTTAAAATATTTTAATAACCAACATATTTGAAAGCATGGTTCATTTTCAGTCCACAGCAAGAGCCAGTATAAAACCAACATATTTATAATTTTTTACTTAATCACAAAGTATTGCAGCCCTGATTTGCACATCACATTTCAAGACTACATTTCCTACAGATACTAGTGTGACATAGAAAATGCACGTTGTAAATCTTATGTCTATCACTTCCTGCAAAGGAACATAATTTTCATTTCACTGCTAAGCAAAGTACCACAGCAAATGTTCATATCTGCTTTCTCCTCAAGATCCCCTTGTCACCACCATAAAAAGAACTACATGACTAAATGGTCTGACCATCCCAGATTAATGAATGAGTCACTCTCAGTCACACACACAAGTTTCACGTAGACAGTAATACTGTTTATATCCTCTATGAAACAACAGAGATAAAAGCTACAGGAAACAAGTTGTAGGTTGGTGTTTAAGGCACCACACATACAGAATCCAAGGAATTTTTACAGAGAAGGGCAAGATTCAAAACAGTATACATGGAAGGGAAAAGACAAATCACATAGCACATTCAGCTGTAAAGGACAAATTCACTGACAAGTGGCAATACTTGCTATAGAAAAACCTTATGAAGATATGAAAAAAATGGGAAAAGGCTAGTATACCACAGCTGCATACCCTACTTTTAATAACAATATTCATCTCGCTCTTACGAAGGTTGTTGAATCTCTTAACAATTGAAACGTTTATTTATGCGAAGAGCAGAGATGGCATGGGAATCCACGGTTCACGATTCCCCAGTGAATCCTGCCAAAGACTCTTTACTCTTGTTCTGGAAGAACCACTTCTCCTAACGACAGTAATTTAGTTCTTCGCCTATTCAAACTTTGTTTTTCCTGCCAAGGTTAAAAGGATGCCAAGTGTGCTGTTTTCTTCGCCTTGAGCAGTTGTCACCTCTAAACTGGACAGCAGCACCTTATTCATGAAGCCCCTTAGCCCAACAGTTAAGTTAAACAGCACTGCGTTTTTTGATCAGAACTGATCTCAGCAGAATTCGTACCAAATGGTTGTCTGCTGCCCATCACTAGTATTACAAGTATACACAATGATGGGAAAAATTACTCAGTAGTTAAGAATTGTATCTGAAGTGAAATGGACTCTTCCCACACAGATTCAAACTTTGTTTGTTTTGGCAGAAAGGTACTGGAATTTTAGGCACTACCAGCAAAATGCAATAAAAAAGCATTTAGATCACCATGGTCTCTAAGGACTTCATATTGAAAACGTACAGCCATGAGAGCTTAAACTAAACACATTTAGAAAGACTCCAAGTTAACTCATCTCGGCACAGACTGGTTCTCCTCAGTTCTGTCTTCTGCTTGAAAGCAGGTTAACAGTATTCCAGATCAAGCAAGGGAACAAAAAGGCCATTTTTTTCTTCTTTTTAGAAAAGCAGATTTTCACAGGAAGTTTACCGAAGATTTATCTAGGACCTGTTTTCATGGCAAAGAAAAGGAAGGCCTTCCAGAAAAAAGGTACAAAGTAAAAACTACCCTACATTAAGTGACTGAAGGCTGCGAATGTGATTTCCAGCAAAACCAAAAAATAACAAGTAAAACAAATTAATAGAGACAATCCTCCCACTTCAGGTGTCTTTCAAGAGAAAACAGTCTTCTAACGATCAAGTTAATATTTCTAACACACTGCTGGTATATAACCCAGTTAGCATATTTTAAAAAATAGTTGCTGTTCTCTTAAAGACATTATAATTCACTGAAGTTCTTATCTGTACAATTAACTCATACACTTGGCAATGAGACATTGCTAGCCCTGCAAAGAGATATGCCTATGAAAGTAATTTCTAAAATTTCTTATAAACATTCATATAAAGAAATCCTTATTTGATGAAAGCTCAATTTACGTAGCTACATTTGAAATCTGAGCAACAGCCAGTTAAGATGCAAATTCTGGATGCCTTACTACTTAAAAGGAATCTCCGTCGGCAGCCTTCTTGTAATGTTAAAACAGACAGTTTAGGTATCTCTTGTCACCAAACTAGTTATGATTGATACCAATCAGCAGCCTCCATTGCAGGTTTAATAGGTAGCTGCTTGAGGCATGAGAGGGAAATCTCACTTCTGACAGACAGTTGCCCTCTACGTGTCAAAAATGGAGGCCAAGAGTTAGGTAGACCAGGCTTCTATCTTTCATAAGCTACTGCTTTGTACCAGTTTTTGGTCAACACCTCTTTTACAACTGAAGGTGCTAATGCTGTTAATTACAGCATTATCTACCAAGATATTATAAAGCCAGCTGTTCATATGACACATGTTCAAAAATGACACCTTCAATTTGTATGCACCTTCCCAAATTAAGGGGCTTCTGTGTCTGCATCAGTAAATCCTCCTTGAAGTGAAGGACCTAAAATGCATATAAGCACTGCTCTTACTGCCAGCCAGGCCTGGCACTAGGATTGGTTTACAAAAGGCAGTCCTTCTCATATATTCAATTTGTTTTCCTCAGCTCATCTTGTAAGAAATGATCCATTGCCAAAAGGAGATTGATTACTCTTACTGGAATGAATGTTATCAGAGATGTGATCTTGATAGACTTCAAGCAAAGGACAGACGCTAGCACAAGTATTTGCTTTGTAAAATGAATCTGGAAGATTGCGGCTGGACTCTTGAGGGTGAATTTACACTTCACGGCTCAGCTGATTTAAGAGGTCGCTGCTGCCAAAGGAGGATATCCCACTCTGCATTGCATCATCCTGACCCCCTCCCTAGAGGAAGCCACAGCACCCTGGGCTAATCCAGCTCAGCTCACTAACATCACAGGCTTCCCTCTCCTTCCCAGTTTTGAAAATCAAGGTTGTGGTGGCTTAGAAGGCTGAAGGTGCTAGCGTGGGGGGGAACTGTCTTTTGTGGCAGAGCTAAGCTGTTCCAGCAGCTCGAGTCATAACACGTAACCTCACCCCGACAAGAAGCGTTGAACTCGTTTGGCTTCCCCACCACAGACACACAAAAAGCACCAGCCCTTCCACAAACTGAACCTCCCTCTCCTTTCCCCAGGATTCTCTTGTCAGTCGCTTCTCTTTTTCTAGCTCTATATTTGGTATTGAGGGGAAGAAAAAAAAATCTTGGTGAAGCAGGAGGGAAGAAGGGGTGTCAGGACAAAATTACATAGCATTTATTCAGGGCCATCTGTTATTCCAAGTCTCAAAGTACTATTTCTGTATCGCTGCAGTGTATCATCTCAGCCATAAGAAAGAATTTATGGCTATTCTAACTGCAATCAGTTCAGCACAAGTTGAAGTATCAAATGTTATTCTATTTGTCATAAAAGAGATATTTAGACCTTCTTGGCGGGGGGGTGGGGAATCAGGGTTTCTTTTGTTCTTTAAATACACCCACATTAATATATTAATGTTTCTAATCAATGAAGGCAGCATTAAAATCAAGGATATTGGAAATCTTAGCAGGATAGAAACAATAGCAAGAGAAAGTGTTTTCTTTTTTACAAAATTAACATTTTCTGCTACTCACTCTCAAAAAAACCCAGTCAGATATCACTGTAGTAGTGCAAAGACCTAGAAATGAAAACCCAGCTTCAGCAGAATCTTTTTTCTGCTCTACAATTAATGGTTCAATAATATTAGTTGCGTAGTACTCATTGACATGATCAGATTCACTAGAATCAGATACAGCATTCAATATAATCTTTCACAAGATGAGCGACAATCTCTGCCAATAATCAATAGGAAATTGTTCCTGTAACACAGAACTTGACTGTAAAAGGCATTTAAAATAATAAACACATGGTTTTTAACTAAGCAAAATGGATAGTATTTACACACTAAACAAATTTCTTACCTGATAGGGCTGAAAGGCACTATCTTCAGTTATAAAATCCAGCTGTTTGTCCACAAGGAATTCTACTGCAGTAATTGAATTGTATACACTTTTTCCAACCAAGGGCTTGAATGTCTGTTGGAAAAAGAGAAAAAGAAAAGAAAATTAACCAATTAAAAAAAAAAAGCTCAGCACATCAAACCCCTAGGACAGTATAAACACTGATGTAATTCTTCCATCAAAACAAGTTAAAACAGAATAACAATTACTAATTATACAAGAAAGGAGAATTTTGTGTTTTGTCGTTTTTCCTTTGTGCCGTTGGTGGAAAACCAGCTAGAAAAGGGAACTACACCGTATATTCTTCCTTTCCCTCACTGTGCTTGAGCAAGAGTGTTTACCACAGAAGCTCAAAGTACAGGAGCACGATTATATCTTAAACATACAGCTTAGCACGCAGATCCTCTCTTTCTGCCTGCAGGACTAGCTAGCACAGTGGTAATTACACTAAGGACGCTGAAGTGGAAACCGACTGCAGACGTGAAAATGCTCCCCCCCTTCCTGTTCTGAAATCGTTCACCTTGCCTCGAGTCAACCATCTCATTTCCCTGCCCGTCTCTGCATCTGTTCTGACTCTGCTGCCTGCCGCCCCCGCAGCTGCTCCTCCCTGCAGCAACCGGCTGCTCCGGCGCAACGGCTTCGGAGACGACAGCGCCCGGTCCCGGGGCTTTTGCAGCGGGGCCGGGAGGTTT